TGTAAATACGAAACCATCTTCAGATGAAAATACTGACTTCTGTGATGCTGGAGCTGCAGGGTAGTACATGCTCTGGAATGATCTCTGTAGTTAGCTGTGTATTCTGAACAAGTAACTCCTGAGCAGCAGTGCAGTTTAACTTTTCATTTCTGTAGTCGCAAAAGCTTAAAGAACGTACTTGATGTTATTTTCTGCAAAAACATAGGTACAGTTTCTCATTTTTTTCAAATTACAGCTTGCGAATGAATGGCTAGTGGTGCGAGGAGGTAGGTTGTTCAAACCGTTTTCTTTCAGTGCTAAAATGGCGTTAAAAGACAATATTCTGCTAGATAATGGTTTTCATTTAAACAGTTGCTAGAACTGGCATGAGGAGGTGATACAGTTGTAAGCAGGGGAAAGTAGTGGTCTGTTGGACTCTGAATAAGAGTTTATTAAGAGGGAATGTGTCAGTAATAAACTGAAATGACTTCTAACAGCAAGCTGCTATGAAAAACTTAGTACTTTTGAAGTAAGAATCTGTCATATCCACAGCTGCTGAGAAAAAGAACTGGTTTGCTTCATATAAGCTAGGCATTCTTTATCGTGAATCAGTTCAATAACACCTAAAATGATAATGTACAATTAAGTTTAGGGTGTCATGCTGTTTATTAAGTATTTCAGGCCTTATCGTTTGTTTGGGTGACACTCATTTCCTTCTGACATTGCAGGATATACAATTAAAAAGAAGAACATTTACTGGGAGCCATCCAAACAGAAATATTATGAAGGATGTATGAGTGGCCAGTTATTGATTGATAAATGGCATGCATGCCATCTTTGATATAACTCTTTGTGCAGTAATATATATTACTTAACAGCATACATTCCATGATAGTTGTTCTTTGGGAAGCTACTAACACCTCTGTTTGAATTTAATTTTTTGCTTTTTAATCACTTTTGTCTCAAAAATCTCTTCTCAGAGCAAACAGTGCTGTGAAAGAAACATTCAGTACCCTCTCCTGTGTCTAGTTGGAACCTGTGAGTGCGAGGTGTGATGAGACCAAACAGCAGGTAGTTTTTAGTCAGACTTGTTTTTTTCTGAAGGGATGGTTTGTTGCTTGCCCTGCCATCCCTCATCTTCCTGCCAGCTCTGGCAGAAAGTTTCACTTATTTTCTGGTTCTGTTTTCTGCTGGCTTAGTGAAGTGAATCTACCCAAGAAAGGACGAGCCAGTTCTGGTGCAAAGGAGGGAATATGACTGCGCAGTCACAATTAGGTGGTAAAAGAGTAGGGGGTAAAACCCATCCCTGTTAGTGGCAGTGAGCTGTTAGACCGGCTGGGCTGTCTCTGCTTATCTGACCTTCAGAATCCTTCTGGATTTCTTCACTGAAGTGCAGGTTTCATAGTGTACAAATTATGTGCCTTTACAAATGAGTCCACAATTTGAAAATATTTCCCTGGTAAAGGTACAGTTAGATATTTAATGGCTTCTGCGTACTGGTGTGTTCTATGTGTGGCTGGAAAATAAAATAATTTCGACTGGAAAAATCGAGCACAGAAGTTCTTACAGAATTGCCTTTTAAAATCATCAGTGCAGTATCTGTGCATCAGAAGGAGGAGAATGACATTTCTGAGCAATGTCTAATTAAGTATCCATCTGTGTCTGTAAGCATCACAGCTTATTTTTCAGTGCAATGTTGTTCTCATTTAAGTAAGAAGCTGGTCTTTCTGTAGCATCACCTTGAGATTACCTTTTCTAGTACTGTTATGAGAAAAGTGAGTGGCAAGAAAGGAACGGGAGTTTTTCACTGTAGTGTCTTCCTCTCTCTGATCGATAAATTTTTCAAGTAGAACTAAATCAGTACCTTTTTTTGTTCTTTGAGACAAGGCTTTCCTTGGCATAGGTATTTTCCCCTGAACTGTCTGTATTCTTCCCTGCAGCAAAGCCTGTTTTAGTCACGACAGACTTTTCTTTCACCAAGATAAATATCAAGTTCTTTTATATATGTACTAATACTAGAATTGTTGACTTTTTAAATAGCCAGTTCAAGGGACCTGGAGAGTACAGACCTCATCAGAGCAAGTATTTTTTCCACACACACAGAAACACACATCAGTGTTGACCAGATATACTTCCATGAAGTTACTAGTCCCTGTGCTGCCTTCTCACTGAAAATATAATTCGCTGATCCCTGCGTGAGGGATCAAACCAGCGTGGTTTGAATAGTTAAAGTAAGAGCCTACTTAATAATAAAAAAATCTTCTTAAGTCATTGAATAGACTGTTAGCAAGGTGGTAGCATGTAGATGAAACATATTTTTTTTTCTGGCTGATAGGCCGGAGAGATGGAAAGGCAAGTACAGGTGTTCTTACAGTCCCTTTGGGAGCTGTGAGGTAGATGATGTTCCCAAGTAGGACGTTTATAAAAAAAAGAGTCTCTAGTTCACTTTGGCTGCCCTTTAGCTTTGTGTTGAGCTCTGTCCTTTGTGCTCCCCAGGCTAAAAGGATGAATAGTGCAGAAGCTGTTCTGCAGTTATTAGTATGAATATTTAAATACATTTCTTTTGGCCAGACTAATATTCTTTTTGCATGTGTTTGAGCAACCAAATTTTTCCTTGCATGTACATTTCAAAACTCTTAGAAAAAATATTTTTCTTCTCAAAGTGCATGACCAGAGCAAAGCTGGGAGTTGCACTAGCAGGTACAATACATACCCCACTGTGTGTAACTCTTGGCTAGTCATTCAGTCATCAAATCTGTGTTTTACTTGCCTGTATAATAGGAGAATTATTTGATAATGTAGGTTTGCAGATGAAATATGTAGAAATACTGATTTTATTACAGTACGGGGATGCGTTTATGTCTCAGAACATGTGTATTCATCATTTGGGTTTGTTGATGCTGTGCTGTCGTCTTGGAAATAAATTGGTTCTTATGTGATATTTATTGCCTACATTAAATTACCATCTCCAGAAATTCTTCTTTGAAGTCGCTTTCAAGAGAGTTTTACTCAGTGCAAGTATTAGCAACCATTTTTCTTTATATATAAAGTTCCTGTATTTTACAGTATTTTTTTTTCAAGTAAAATGCTGGGTTTACTTGTTTGTTTGTTTTTCATATTTAGCAGGCCTAGAGTTGTCCTCTCCATCTTTCTTGTGTTGTCTGATAGTGACTAAACTTTCCTTAACTGGTGTTTCTCTCCCATGAATATTTTCATAATTCCCTTGCACCATCCAGCATTTCATTCATTAGCCTGAAGGAAGCATGACTTCTATTTTAATATTCTTTAAAAATGAAGTTTCAAAGTGGGTTAGGGCAGACAGGACAACATTGAGCTTTTCACAGCACCTTTTCGAAGCAGGGAGGTAGCCTTATTCTGTGCTGCAGATGGAGGGGGGGAAGCGGCATGCAATTACATACATACAATTACAGGCAGCTTGGGATGGGTCAGGAAACTGAAGAAGGATTGTCAGGGTACAGAAAAATCTCTCTGAACCATCCATGCTTTCTCAGGCTGCTCAAGTACCGATTGCCCTTGTCTGCAGAAATGCATTTTTTTTAAAAACAGTAGATGAAATCTTACTACTGCTTTTTCTTGTCTACACTTTTTTTGAAGTGCCATAACTTTATTGTTTATTATATTTCTAAACCCATAAATGACTTGTTCCATAGCATTAATCTGTAAGCAAATGTGGCAATTGAAAGGTCTTTGTTCTATGTTGAATTCCAACTGAAAATGTAGGTGGAAGGCAAAGTGTGAATATTGAAGATAAAATTATAGATACTGGTCTCCAAAACAAAATTTCCCTGAAGGTGCTTCAGGTACTTTTGGGTTGATAACGTGCAAGTTATCAATCAGATAAATAGCTTGGGGTTTGTATTTGCAGTGAAGCAATGCAATTTGTTAAATTATAACTTGAAGTAAAATGTAGGATACTGGTGTGGGTGGATACTGTTTCTTGCTTGCAGCCCATACTATTTGGTGCTGTTTTCTTGTCAGATTTGAGAGAAAACTAGGTCAGCCTGTAGGTTCTCATACAACCAGGACTGGTATGGGAGACACTCAAGGAGCACTCGAATGGTGTATTAGATACTCCTAAGAAGTCTGTACATGACTCACCAGCATGGTGGTCCCCTGCTGAGAACAAATCTGTGTTACAATGCTAATGCTTCTAAAGACGTTGCCTGTAGAGGTTGTAAACCCCGTGTCTCTGACAACTTAGTGTCACTTCATGGCACTTCTTGTAAATACGTCTTTGGTACGTGAGATCTACTGGCAGAGCGGTTCCATTGGAAAAGAATGGTGTTTGTAGTCTTGCTCTAATGTTCAGCAGCTGCTCAGTTTCTGCTCAAAGTGACTGGATTTCTCCTATGTCATGTTGGTACTGTAAGCTTGCAAATTACCATAAAAACATTGTAACTTTGTAAGACTGAGGTCCTGTTCAACTGAAAGTAGATTTCTCACAGATACAGAAACTGAATTATATTCTGGTCTGTCCAGGTAGATGACTACCAAGTCTGGGAATTTTCAGGCTGGTATTGTTGATAAGAGCTAAAATTCTCCACTAAAATATGTTTAAAGTTCTAGGTAAGAAGTTTAGCATATGCTGCTTATAATATATTGATTTAAATTTTATAAAGTAAGAGTTTAGAAATATTTTTATTATTTTCTGATCTGTTTTGATTATTCTAGTGAGGTGAACCACTTTTAATGTGATTCCAGTACCAGCTTTCGTGGGTGTGTAAAAGGAAGAATAGTTTGGTGTAACAGGATGAGGTCTCTAGGAAAAAGCAAATGAAGAAAACCAATACGATACTGAACCATACTGTCTGTAATTGAAAGCAATGAGTTGTTTAGGTAATACTGTGAAAAGCAGGATTGAGTGAGTTATATGGGTAAATTATTCTTACTGTTCTGTTCTTGTGCAGGCTGCTGTATTGCTGAAGTCCATATCTAGTTCACCCAGTCTTCCAGACTGCGTGCTCCATGCTTTGAGACCAGGAGGACCTTGATGTTCTGAAATGAAGATGGAGGCAGTGGGAAAAGCAGAAGACCTTGTTGATTCGGAAGTTCCACCAAAGACTTCTGAAAAGCAAGAGACTGCTCCTGATGAAGACGGACCTATAGAACTGGAGACACAAACTCAGAAAGACAACGTGCCCACTGCAGCAGACTCTGCGGTGCTCTCTTCAATGCCTTGCTTACTGATGGAACTGAGGCGAGACTCCTCAGAGTCTCAGCTAGCATCTACAGAGAGCGATAAGCCAACGGGTGGTCGAGTTTACGAGAGTGACTCTTCTAATCATTGCATGCTTTCCCCTTCTTCCAGTGGGCATTTGGCTGACTCAGATACATTGTCTTCCACAGAAGAGAATGAGCCCTGCCAAGCTGAAGCTGCTGTAGAGGGAGACCCTTCTGCGGTGTCTGGGGTTGCAGTTGGGAGGAAATCCAGGCGATCCAGGTCCGAAAGTGAAACTTCAACAATGGCTGCCAAGAAAAACCGACAGTCTAGTGATAAGCAGAATGGTCGAGTTACCAAGGTAAAAGGTCATCGAAGCCAAAAGCACAAAGAAAGAATCCGGCTCTTAAGACAGAAACGGGAGGCAGCTGCTCGCAAGAAGTACAACCTGCTGCAGGACAGCAGTACCAGTGATAGTGACCTGACGTGTGACTCGAGCACGAGTTCATCAGATGATGATGAAGAGGTTTCAGGGAGCAGCAAGACAATCACTGCCGAGATACCAGGTAGAGGATGTTTTTTAAACTGAACTGTAACGCATCTGACATCGTTTCTCAGCTGTCATGCTAAATTAGATGAGTGACACTTGAGAAAAACCAGGAGAACTGCAGCTCTGTGTAAATTTGAAGACTGCAGTATATTAACAAGACATGGGCAAATTTTAAAATCTGTTCTGAGGTTTCAGTGCACTTTTGCACACCAACAAAGCATAGAAACGGTAAATTGGAGGAAGGACTATCTTTGAATTCTGGAATTTTCAGATCTTTTCCTATGTAAGCGTATATGAACTCCTATCAGTGCTGTCAAATCCCATTAGATGGTGATAATCTAATAAATACATTCTTAAGATAAGTGGCCAGCTTTGCTTTAATATATTAAGACCACAGCTCGGCAGCTGTGTTAGAAATAACACGGCATACCTCTTGCCCGTGTTACAGTAAGGCCCTGTTCATTATTGCACTTATGCTGCGCTTTCAGCTCTGCGTTTCAGTGCATGACAAACCTACTTAGCCTTATTGTAAATTCTTGCAGGTTGCAGCTGGTCACCTATTTTAGGACATAAATATGAATTTGTTTACACAGGTGCCAAGCTATATCCACACCTAAATTTTCAACAGTTTAGATAAAGCTGTTACCATTTTCCTATGTCATAAGGATCTTTAATTTCTATACTTTTACTTTTCTGACACATTTGTGTTAAGATTGGAGGCAGCAAATTATAGGGGCCTTCTCATGATTTTATTAGCAAAAGAAAAAATGAGTTCTTCAAGCTTTTTGTCTGCCGAGTCTTTGTTATTTTATTAGCCCAAGTGCCGTGGACAGGATTTTGTGTGAATTATTCTTGCAGCATATTATACCATAGAACCGTCATCATATGGCAATCTTCATATGGCAATCAAAATAAAAATCACATCAAAATAAACTTTTTGGCTTGCCAATTTTTACTGGGTTGCATGCCTTTTTGCCTCTTGTGCTAGAAGATTTTTTTTTGAGATAAATATCAGCTTACATAGGGCAAGAACATTTAAAGGAAAACTGCAATAATTAGTCTTATGTTGCTGAACTAATGTTTGCTAGATGAATTATTTAAAAATATTTGCAGCAGATTTTACAAATAACTGTTTTTAACTGACTTGATTATGGTGAATGATTCTGTCACCATGAGAACTGGCATTTTTCCCACATATTGCTAGGAAACAGGTTGCACAAAGGAAGTTAATGTTTATTATTAGAGAGTCTGGGAAAGGCATAGTCCTCCTATAATTATTGTGTAGTAAACTTTTAACAGAATTTCTAAAATTATTTTTACCAATTCAGTAATTAGTCAAACTTCTAGCTTTCATAGTTTGGTGCCTTTTTATTTACTGTATTTACACTTTGCTGGGCAATTAAAGCCTGATTTAAAGCCTGTTGAAGACAACTATTTCATTGAGTTTTCGGACAGGTTCCTCCCCACCCCTAAAAAAACCCCAGAATGCACACAATAAATCCCCCAGGTTATATTCTTTTTTAAGTCATAAAAGTACTTTGTGATGCAGAAAGGCACCACGTGGTATTTTCAGATCTGCCCAGATTTCTGACTTCCATTGTGGAGACCTGAAACCACCCTAGGGTACTTTTTCTGTGTCACTAGGCTCTTCTGTATTTGAGCTCTCAGTCTTAACCGTGAGATGCTTGCAGTGAAAAGGTCCCATTGCAGTGCACGGAAGAGCTTGATGATTTAGTGATGGTTACACCAAGGCCCGATTTTACCTGCCATGCAAAATGTGGGAGTGCAAAAACCATCCTGAGAGCAGTGACCTTTATTTTTATTTCATAGCCTGTATCATCTGCTTGATACTAAATTACATTTAAGACATTATAACTGTCCTTTTGGAATTAGGTGCAATGCATACCTGCCACATTGCGGTTTTCCTTTAAATAGAAACAACTTTGGTTTGTGGGAAACAGTCTCCGAGTAGAAGAGAAAAATATTCTCTGTAGAGATAAGGACAAGGTTGGCCAAGAATGCATCCTGTGGGTTAATGAAACGTTGTGGTCTTAACAGATGCAGCGGAGCTGTGAGTCTGAGTAGGACTCCCAGCTCTCCGTCGCAGTGGTAGGTTCACATGCCATCTGCGATCCCTCTTCCTGGAACTGGCAAAGTGCTTAACTTGAATTATTTTTTTGACTAGAAAGCCATTTTAGTGCACTTAGCATTACACTGTGAATATCCTCAAAATTTAGGGAGTGAACAGGTAGTTGGAAAATAATACAGGGTATCAAAAAGCATTACTGGAAATTCAGGCGATGAGTGTCCTCTGCACGCAGTCAAAAGCTAAGGCTTGAACTAAAAGCTTGATGCTTGAACTTGAGTGTCAAGAAACTACAATGCACCTGTCAGAAGGACATAAGCATGGAAAAACTTTTGCCTTTACTTTTGAAAAAAGTCTGTACACATTGATGCAGAAGAGTTTTTTACAGGTAGCCTGTGTTCCCTTTAGTCTTACTGTATTTGGACACTTTAGCTGCAGTGTTGGTGACTGTCTCAACATAGCTTATTATTGGGACTAATTTTCAAATGTCTGTTGCCTGAAAAATAGCTTTGCCAACAGAGATGCTCTAAAATTTTTAGTGACGGTTAATTTAATGTGGCCTTCGTGTACAAAGGTTGTATGTACTCTGGCTCTTAACCTTTTATTGACACATGTAGCGTTACAGAAGACAGTTCACTTGTGCGTGGTCTGAAAATTTTAAGTGCCGTATTTGAGAATACAGTAGCAGTCTTCCATGTCATGTTACTAAACCTCTTCCATTTTAATAGCGCAGTTATTTTTTTCAAACCATCCACGTGACTGGTTCTGAAATACATTTGGTTAAATTAGTAAGGTAAGGAAAATGTTCAGTGAAATACATAATGCCGTGAACATCTGTAGTGTTACTAGCTTCACTTTGTGCGTGCACCCAAGTTGTGAACGGAGCAGTTGTGCAACAGAGAGTTAGTTCTCTCTGCCAAACTCAAATGTAATGTGGATTAAAATACTGGCAGGCTTGTTTGTCTTCTCAACAAAGATTGAAGAGTAAAGAGTTGAGGTCTTACTGGTAATACTTCAATACAAATATTGTGAGCTCAGTAGGAGCTACGGATAATATGATATGTTATTCTGAGTATATTATATGGTGTTAATTTATACCTGAAAATACAGGTTCAATCTAAACTTCATAGATGCTACCGAGAATCTTTTCGCTGACCTGAGCAGTCATAGTCTTGGGCCCTTTAAATCAGGGAATGCCATGATTTTTGAATTATTGCAGATAAGGAGCAATTCTTAACTTTTAATTATTGAGCTTCTCTGTTGGCATTTAGAATTTTACCATTCTTAAACATCGGATAGCATTCACAGCATAAGAGGGTGATCTTTGAGTCCTGAACAGGTTCTGCTAGACCTGCTGCTGTTGAAAGTCTTTCCTTTAAACAGTTTCAAATTTGACCATGCAAATTAGCTCTGAATGAAATTGGCATGAGAGCAAGTCTGGGAATCGATATTTATTTCTGTGTAAACACTTTTCTTTGGAAGAAGGAAGGGGGTTTTAAAAAAATTGGCATTTCACCACCATTGTGCTTTCTACAACTCAGAAAAATCTGAATTGAAATAGGGGTGACTCATGTTTTAGGCTTTAAAAAAAAAAAATCTGTTAAAAAGTTTGAGTATTGATGTTGAAAAAGGTATTGCAGCTCCCTTTGTTAAAAAAGAAAAAGAAAGATTTTTTTAATATGCAGAAATCCAAAGAGAGGGGCACAGTGTGTGTGAGGGACTCTCAGCCAGGTTACTTCCTCCTAAGATTTGTGCGTAGACCTTGGATGAAGCATCTTGTAAGAGATGAATTTGGTTGAAGTGACTCAGAATGACAACTATGTAAGAACAGGGAAAAAAATCCGTTAAGAGTGATTTGCAGTGAAATACTCATTTGGAAATGTCAGGTAGCATAACGACAGAAAGGAGTCCACCGTTGCTAATTAGGGTGAAGATGTGGCATATCTTCTTAAATTGTCACATTGTCAGGTTTCCTAAATTAAATAACTTTGGATTTGATCATTATTTGGATAGTACTTAATAGATCCCATAAAGAGACAGCACTGGGGCATTTCTTAGGTGCTGTTTTGCAGGAGGTATTGTCTTGAAAATAAGATACTATTCTTGGATTCTGACCCCTTTGTGATTGCAAACTTCTTTGCCTTTTAACTCGGCGTAACTTCAAAAACTATAGAGCTGCAAGTTTACAGATAGCAAAGGGACCAGTTAGATAAATGCTAGCTTTTTAATATAATGCATTTTTAGACTTGATTAATTTTTTTTTAACACTGAAGGCCACCAGTAAAGAAAAGATTGAATAAGGCTTGTTACAAGAACTGCAAGGAAAGCATTTGAAACATTGATTTGCTGCTACTGTAAATTGTACATATGCTATGCTCTGAATGATGCCTTTTAAAAATAGTATTGCAGGGTAATATATATTTCATAGTCTCTCCAGTTTACAAAACAGTTTTGTCAACTTTGACCATGCTAGTTCATTCTTGACTTTAAAAGCCTAGCTAGATTGTCTCGCGTATCACCATCAATAGTTTCTTTCTAAATTGCGATTAAAACTTAACATTACTTAAAGGTGTCTGATTGTAAGCCTGTGGAAGTCAGAAAGACTGCTATTTAGTTACTTGATCTTGGGATAAGATCCCTGACTAAAGATGAATAAACAGAATCATATTGGATGTTCAACACAAGGAGTATATGAACAGAAGGAATATTTTTTTCAGGGAGGAAAAAGACATTGAATATACAAAAGGAACCACGTTTTAGGAAAAAGGTACCATTTTACTTCATTACTTTTAGTTAAAATGCAGTCGGAGGGATGTAAATTAGTTGCTATAAAGTAGTTTATTTTTGAGCAGAGGACCTGAATGCTGAACTTCCAGCCTGTCTGATAGGTAAACAGATGGGAGAGAAGACTAAAAAAGTAGGGTTTTTAA